TGAAGTAGCTATTATTACACGAATTTATAGAAATAGAGATTCAGAAATATGTGTCTATCCCAACAGAAAACAGTGAATAAGCCAGTACTTAAAGTCAGGTTTTCTGAAATCCAGTGGTATTTATACCACACCAGTATTTGAAGGGTTCTGTAAGGAAAATATTAAATGATGCAGGAAGCATCAAAAGAAGATGGAAAGAATACACAGAGACACTGTACCAAAAAGAATTGGTTGATGTTGAACCATTTCAGGAGGTAGCATATGATCAAGAGCTGATGCTACTGAAGGTAGAGGTCCAAGCTGCAGTGAAGGCAGTGGCGAAAAATAAGGCCCCAGGAATTGACAGAATACCGAATGAGATGTTTTAACAAACGGATGCAGCACTGGAAGCATTCACTCATCTATGCCAAGAAATTTGGAAGGCAGCTACCTGGCCAACCAACTGGAGGAGAACTATATTTGCACCCATTCCAAAGAAAGGAGATCCAACAGAATGTGGAAATTATAGAACAATATCATGAATATCTCACGTAAGTAAAATTTTGCTGAAGATCATTCAAAAGCGATTACAACAGTACATAGACAGGGAACTGCCAGAAATTCAAGGCAGATTCAGAAGAGGAGGTGGAACAAGGGATATCATCGCTGATGTCAGATGGGTCGTGGCTGAAAGCACAGAATACCAGAAGATATTTACCTGTGTTTTATTGACTCTGCAAAGGCACTCAACTGTGTGGATTGTAATAAATTATGGATACCATTGCGAAGAATGGGAATTCCAGAACACTTAACTGTGCTCATGAGGAACCTGTACTTAGACCAAGAGGTAGTTGTTCGAACAAATCAAGGGGATACTGTATAGTTTAAATTCAGGAAAGGTGTGTGTCAGGGTTGTATCCTTTCACCATACTTATTCTGTATGCTGAGCAAATAATCCAAGAAACTGGACTATACAAAGAAGAATGTGGCATCAGGATTGGAGGAAGACTCATTAACAACCTGCATTATGCAGATGACACAACCTTGCTTGCTGAAAGTGAAGAGGGCATGAAGCACTTATTGAAGAAGGTCAAAGACTACAGCCTTCAGTATGGGTTACATCTCAACATAAACAAAAATCCTCACAACTGGACCAATAAGCAACATCATGATAAATGGAGAAAAGATTGAAGTTGTCAAGGATTTCATTTTGCTTGGATCCACAATCAACGCCCATGTAAGCAGCAGCCAAGAAATCAGATGACACACTTCATTGGGCAAATCTGCTGCAAGGGATCTCTTTAAAGTGTTAAAAAGCAAAGATGTCACTTTAAGGACTAAGGTGCACCTGACTGAAACCATGGTGTTTTCAGTCACCTCGTATGCATATGAAAGCTGGAAAATGAATAAGGAAGATGAAAGAAGAATTGATGCCTTTCATTTATGGTGTTGGCGAAGAGTATTGAATATACCATGGACTGTCAGAAGAAGGAACAAGTCTGTCTTGGAACAAGTACAGCCAGAATGCTCATTAGAAGTAAGGATGACGAGACTTCATCTCACATACTGGACATGTTATCAGGAAACCAGTCCCCGAAGGACATCATGCTTGGTAAAACAGAGTGTCAGTGAAAAAGAGGAAGACCCATAACAAGATGGGTTGACACAGTGGCTGCAATAATGGGCTTAAACATAGCAAGGAGTGTGAGGATTGGTGCAGGACTGGGCAGTGTTTTGTTCTGTTATACATAATGTCGCTGTGAGTTGGAAACCACTCGATGGCACCTAACAACAACAATCTTGAGTAATGAGTAATTGAGTATTAATCTTGAGTAATGCATGGACCCAGTATAATGGGAAAAAATAATATTATCACAGACAGTCCCAATGCCGACTTTAATTGCTTTTATTACAGCATTTCTTAAATATGCTCAAACATAAAAGCAGGTAAAAATTTTATGCTTACACCTCTTACAGAACTAAAAATGAAGTTACAGTTGAATACCAACCAAACTATAAGATGAGTAATGATTAAAATAACAACATTAATGAAATGGACGGCCTTTTCTGAATCTAAGTCACTGCTCACAAAAGGAAAGTCCCTGCCTGCTTTAGCGTGTGTCCTGAATTCAGCATCCCCACACTACAGTGTGCAAGGGAAAGCCAACTCTCTCACCACTTTCCTATTATTTCAACTACTGCAAAATCTGCTGCTGCTCCAGCCACTTGGAGCAAATGAATCATTTATGAATTAAACCTCCTTCCTTTTTTTTCTCATTTTAACCCAAAACAATTCAAGTAGTACCACTTGAAATCAACTTAATTATAAACACAAACATGGAGACTGAAGACAGTGATGGCACCCTGTTATAAGAAGGCCGTCAATAGCCAAACTATGTTTGACTTTTTCAAAGATTATCATCTCATTTAAAGCACAAAATTTCAAAATGCTTCAGAGAACTTGTAGATCCCAAGGCTTCAGCTACACCTGCTAGCATTCCTTAAATCCCAGTTTTTGCGAAAACTTGAAAATTACACAGATACCTGGGTTGCTTCCAGTGAGGTTTGATGCCCCCTTGGGGAATTCCACGGCATCATAAGCAGTGCCAGGGCCATATGCTCAGGCTCATGGAGGGAGGGGGGGGTGATACAATAATGATAATAATAATAATAATACCATTAAATTGGTACTTTATAGCTTACAAGGCAGTCAACCACATTATCTTTATCCTCCCAAGAACCTTATAAAATAGAAATTATCATCACTGTTTTACAAATAAGGAAACAGGCTTGAAGAGGTTAAGTGACTTATCTAATGTCATAAAGCTAAATAGTAAATCTCAGCACTTGGACCAAGTATCCCAATTCCCAGCCCTCTGCACACTATGGCTACCTCTCTTTTGATCTCTGTGAAGTATATTGGAGGTTAAGCCCTCAGAGAGGTGCTCTTCATGACATACATGAAGTCAGAATGACTGCAGTCCAGGGTGAGTTTTGTGATGCAAGTCTATTCTGCATAACACCTATGAGTTTCAACCTCCTTGACAGCCCTGGCCATGTTTACATGAACAGGGTGACTTAGCTGCCTCGGATATCTTATGAGAAGAATCTGAAATAAATAAATGGTTGCCTGCTTTTGACCTCATGCAGAGGAAGGACACCAGAAACAAAAAAGAACCTTCATGTTTCTTCTTGGTGATAGCTCTTTCAAATGCATAACATCTGTAGACCCACCAATGTCCTATCAACACACCTCCCTCTGTTCTCTCCATATGCAAGGCAGTTACTAGAAATGCAATGTCCAACATATTAGCCACCAGTCACATGTCACAATTTGCATTTAAATTTGAGTTAAGATGGAATAAAAATTTTAAATTCAGTTTTGTAGTCACATTAGCCACATTTCAAGTACTCAATAGTCACATGTTGCTAATGGATACCATAATGGACAGCACAGACACAACATTTCCATCATCGCACAAAGTTCTGTTGGACAGCATTGTACTAGGCTACCACATGTAAATAAATCCTCTGAAACATCAAAGCATATGTTCTGACTTCCAGAAAGTTCAGGCTGTTGCCACACATGAGGCTCCCCTGGGCCTCTTGACCCCCTGCCAGGTGTGCTTTGCAGTGGGGGTGGGGGATTAGTAGTTACAGCCATGAAGCAGGACTAGGAAGAGCCAGAAAACTGAATAAAACCCACCCCACACTCCACAGCTGGTAGCCAAACCACGCTGCTGATTCCCTCCCGTCTGTGGGGCATGGTGCGCACAGCAGAACCCCGTCATACATGTGTAGTACACACTGCCACCTCACCTGTTCAGCTTCACACTGATGGAAATCTGTATGAACCAGAGCCTGTGATGATTCATTTCTGGGCTCACAGGGTGGAGAAAGGGAAAGACACAAAATAAAGTCACATGGGAAGGTCTCATCCACCCATGAAGACCAAATAGCTTAAAAGTCCATAACGCAAGATTTCTCCCATTTGTTCAGTATAATTTTTGTAGATCAGGTTCTACAAGTGCAGGCTCAGAATGAGCAGCTTCATGTGGAATAATAAAAGACAGAGGATCAGTAAATTCATTCCTCCTCGAACTCTCATTCATTGATTCATTTATTTTCCTTCTGCCCGGGAATGCAAAAGGGGACCCTAGAGAGCTTAGACAGGATCTCTTCCTGTCTGCACTTAATGACTCCCACCTCAGTCTCCTCTGTGATTCTTCCCTATGCATTTCTCTCAAAAGCAATAATAAAAGAGAAAAGCCTATTCAGATCTTATTTTGAACGAGAAATAAAGAGACAAAGACCAATATATAGAAATGGACATGACTCCACTCCTCCCACAGTGCCAGCTTGGTCTTGGCTTTGGAGTCCAGAGCTGCACAATCCAATAGAAATATAATACGAGCACATATCCAATTTTAGGTTTTCCAGTAATCACACTAAGAAAATCAAAATAAATGAGTGAAATTAATTTTAATAATATATTTTATTTAACCCAATATTCAAAAATATTGAGATAGTGAGATAGTCTACATGCTTATTTTTCACATTAAGTCTTCAAAAGCTGGGGGGTATTTTACAGTTACAGTGCAGCACATCCCTTTATTTTTTTTAGTTTTTTATTTTATTTTATTGTTGTACTTTAAGTGAAAGTTTACAATTCAAGTTAGTCTCTCATAGAAAGATTGATACATATATTGTTATGTGACCCTAACTGCTCTCCCTATACTATGACAGCATGCTCTTCCTTTCCACCCCTGATTCCCCGTGTCCGTTCAACCAGCTCCTGACCCTCTCTGCCTTCTCCTCTCACCTCCTGACGCGAGTTGCCCGTTTAGTCTCATGTATCTACTTGAGTTAAGAAGCACACTCTTCACGAGTATCATTTTATGTCCCATAGTCCAGTCTAATCTTTGTCTGAAGAGTTGGCCTCGGGAATGGTTTTACTTATGGGTTGACAGAAAGTCTGAGGGCCATGCTTTCTGGGGTTCCTCCAGTCTCAGCCAGACCATTAAGTCTGGTCTTTTTACTAGAATTTGAGTTTTGCACCCCACTTTTCTCCTGCTCCATCAGGGACTCTCTGTTGTGTTCTCTGCCCGGGGGTCATTCGTGGTAGCCGGGAAGTGTAGCACATCTCTATTAACCAACCACATTTCAAGGGCTGGATAGGCACATATGCAGAGTGGCTACCACACTGGACAGCACATGTCTCTAGGAATCTGATTTTTCAAGGAGAGTCTTCTCTGATTCTCAAAGGAGAATCAAGTTCCGTGAATTCCACTTTAAAATTTCTTTTCGGTTGAATGAAATCTCATTTTAGTGACTGATTTCCAACACCTATAGGCCATCTTATCACCCTCCTAATGGTAGTTATGGAGTTAAGCAGTGATTCTTCCCTATGCATTTCTCTCAAAAGCAATAATAAAAGAGAAAAGCCTATTCAGATCTTATTTTGAACGAGAAATAAAGAGACAAAGACCAATATATAGAAATGGACATGACTCCACTCCTCCCACAGTGCCAGCTTAGTCTTGGCTTTGGAGTCCAGAGCTGCACAATCCAATAGAAATATAATACGAGCACATATCCAATTTTAGGTTTTCCAGTAATCACACTAAGAAAATCAAAATAAATGAGTGAAATTAATTTTAATAATATATTTTATTTAACCCAATATTCAAAAATATTGAGATAGTGAGATAGTGTACATGCTTATTTTTCACATTAAGTCTTCAAAATCTGGCAGTTAATGCTTTCAGCTGCTAACTGAAAGACTAGAGGTTCAAGTCACCCAAACATGCCTCAGAAGAAGGACCTGGCAATCTACTTCTGAAAATTCAGCCATTGAAAACCTTATGGAGCACAGTTCTACTCTGACACTCATGGGGTCACTATGAGTCAGAAAGGTATTTGTAAATGTTTCCCAATTATCACAATTACATTAAATGACACCCAATTCTTAGCCCAGCCTCAGAGCAACACACAACTCCTCCAAATTAAAACACCACTTTCTTTTCATGATCACATTTTAGTCATTTCTAATTCATGAATTGTGTTCTACTCCAAACCAATTTGCACTAATTTTGCAAGAAAAATGCTGTGAACTGCCATGGCAAATAATGACATTTTATATATGTCTATCTTTCTTCCAGAAAACTTGGAGCTCTGGTCAGATTTCAGCTCATTGATCCTAACTACAAACCTGTTTCATAGAAAAGTGAAAACAATAAAAATCCAAAGAGGAGTTGGAGTAGAATTATCTTCTTGTTCACCCTTGCCTAATTCTTAGGGAGCAGGACAATGCTTTATTTTAACTACCGCAAAAGACCACCTTACTTCACATTCTCTCCCAGTTTTCTGCGCTCCTAAAAGGAAAACAGTCACCTGTAAATCCAGTCTCCTTGCTCTCTCCTCTAAGAAAGGTGGTGGAAGGGCAAAAGTCCTGTGAGACTGAGCCTCAAAGTCAGCTAAACAGAAAAAAGCAGCCCAGATGTTGCCCCTATTCTAGCATGAAGAGGTCAGGGGATGAATAAAAGGGTTCAAAGAAGCTAGTTTGAAGGTGTTCACTTTTTAAAACCTCTAGCACCCCTTTTTTCTAGGAAGAATACCTACTTAACAAACCCAGATTTTCTTTTTGATGGAAAAACGGTTCTTTTTTCAAAGACTCAATGAGAAAAGGTGGATTATGGCCCAGAGATGAGATGAAGCTTCCTCCAGTGGACATATGCTGTTTCCTGTGGGCTTCTCCAGTGCACACAGCTGGAAAAGCCTAGAATTCCCTATATCAGCCCATCACGAATGGACTCTGAGTCACAACACAAGAAGATTTGAAATTACCTGCCTTCAGAGCAAAATCTGAGGACCAGTTGGCTCCCTTGGTGCCATAGTCTTCCCTTGGTGTGGGGCCTTCAGCTTCCACCAACTTTAGTTCCTACAAGTTCCCTAGACAAAACCCCTGCCCACACCAGACCAGCCTCACTGTTCCCTTTGTCCTCCCCTTCCCTAAGTCCCACCTTGTCCTTCCAGGTCACCTCACCACAGATAAGCCTATCCTGACCACCTCACCCCAAACTGACATCTACTCCCAAAGGTCTGTGTCATACATTCTTGTCTCCTTACTTCCTTTTTAATGCAAATGTTGTCTCCTCACTTAGTTATACATTCTTAAAGGGCAGAGACCATGGATTGGTCATCCTTGAATCCCTCCACAGAACCTGCTACCATCCCTTATTCATAAAATACCTTGAATAAATGAATATTGATGAATATGACCGTAAGATATGAGAAAAGGATGGCTCTGCACTCACACTATCATCATCATCATCATCTACCACAAAACCCAAAACCATGCACATACTATTAAGAAGAATGCGTTTCTCAGAACCACAATCTTCTCAAATTGCCAGATTCAAAGAGAGGTCAAGTTTTCTTTCTTTTAACTGTGCATTCATGATTAAGATTCATGCTATTCACCCAGGGTCTGCCATAATGGAATGAAGGGGGTGGGGGGAGGAAATGAAGATGGAGAAGAGAATGACAGTTATTCACTCCACTGAACACACACACATCAGAGAAACCTATTCAACCCTCAACACATACAGACGCACACACACACGCATACATACACACAGCAGTGTTGGAGAGTGCAGATGCTCAAACATCAGCCCATCGTAGCCAAAAAAAAAGGGAAAGTGTCTTCCAGAAGATGCCTCTGGGAGTTAACCAGTCTCTGCCGGGAAGCTGAAACTCTCCAGGCTTCGGTAACTCAGGACATTGAAGTAGTCGTGTGGCTCAGCATAGTCATTTTCCCTCTGCTCCCTGTAGAGGTCGGCAGGGGCAGCTTCTGCCTGGACACAGCTTCCAGGGGGTGAGGGAATTCTGGGCCTCCAGTCCTGCTGTTCAGACGGCATTCTCCTGTGGCCACTTTCTGCAGAATGAATTCGAAGGGATCGCTTCTAAAAACAAACAAACTACAAAGTGAGTATGTGGGGATGGTATTCAAAAGTTACTCCCTAACATGATACCGTGATACACAGTGATACGCCAATTCCTCAACCCCTAATTTCTCAACCTTGTTACAACTAGATTTCAGTACTAACCACACCACTGATACAACACTTACTGCTATGCACGCACTGGTCCCCGTGCCCCGTTACTCCTATTTCCTAAACCTTGTGAGGCAGCATTCAGTCTCAATTCTCCTACTCTTCACTCATTGGACACTGTTGGCATCTTTTTTCAAAATGGTGTCCTTCCCTGGATCCCACACATTGCTCTCTCCTGGCTCTCTTCTCCTCCTCTGACCACTCACCTTCATCTTCATCCCAGGCTTGCTCTTCCTCCTGTGTACCAGCTCTCCAAATGAAGGGGTTCCCCAGGGTTCTGCCCTCTGTTTTCTCACACTCAACACACACTCTCTCTGAGTTGCTTCGTCCATATGTGCATCTACAACTGCCATCTGTCCTTCGAAGATTCCCAAACTCTCTAGCCAAACTGGTCGAGGTTTCTCCCCTAGTTCGAGACCCAGTTGTCCAGATACTAATTGGACATCACTGCCCGATGACCCACCGCAAGCCCAGATTCAATTTGTCCCAATGGGAAAAATCACATTCGCTCCTCCACAGACTGCTCCTGTCCCTACATTCTCTATCCTGGTTTATTGCACCAGCTAACCAGAAAACTGGAGGCTAATATTAATCTCCATTCAGTCATAAAATCCCATCCAATTCTACTCCTAAATAGCTCTGAATTGATTCTTTCTTTTCTATTCCTACACCATGCCTTATCTCTTACCTGCACTTCCATACTAGCCTGCTCCTAGACTCTCTCCTACCTCTAACCCAACTTTTGCATGGCCGCCAGTAAAGTGACCTTTAAAAAATGAAAGCTGATTTATGCCATGCTTCTGCCTAAAACCTTTCAATGATTTCCATTGTCTATAGAAGGGGATCCACAGGTGGACATTAAAGGATTTCAAACTCCCCTTAAATTGTATAAAAAAAATTGTGTAAAGGTGTATTCTTCTGGGAAGAAAGTCCATAATTTCACTACATTCCCCAAAGGAGACTGTGATGTCCTAAAAAACACCTTTTGTGACTTGGTCATGCTCACCTTTCCAGCATTATCTCCCACCATGTTTCCCCAGCCAACACACTCCACTCTCTGGGATAAGGTTTAGACATCAGGGAGCTATCATTTTCTGAGAATCTGCCATGAGAACACACTGGGCTAGCTTCTTTAATTCTAGCCTCAGCCCTATCACGGTTTCCACTTTGGGATGAGCTAATAGAGACAAGTGAAATCACTTGCCCAAGGACAAATCCAATTTTGACTCAGGTTTGTCTGACTCAAAGCCATGTTATTTCACCTCAGCCAAGGTGCCTCTCCTCTTACAGTTTCTTGAATGCCATACACTGTTTCCAGCCTTTCTATTTTGTATATGCTGTATCTATTGTCCATTCCCTGTACTTCCCCTAAAAGTTGTTCGAGACTCAGCTCCATCAGACTGTGTCCAGGAAGCCTCCTCTGCCCCCGTCAGGGAGTTACATTCATCCTATATGCTATAACATGGTCCTGGGTGTTCTCTAACCGTTATTTGTTTACCCTTCTGTGTCTCCTGGCCCTAAACTGTGAGCTCCTTAGGAAGGGTCTGGGCTGTATTTCTCTGCGAAAACTCAGAGCCCACAATAGATGCTCAACGTGGGTTTGAGGATTTGTTCAAGCACTGAAATGTGCTGTTGCGCTGTCTCTCTCTCTGCCTCTTGGGCCTATCCTCTCAAGGGTGGGCCATGGCATCAGTGTGCATTCCTGGGCATGGGATGGACTAAGGGTGGGTGACTTTGCTGGGGAGGTGGAGCTTGGATATGCGGACTGATGTATCCATACCTATACAGGTGAGGCTTCTCAAGAGACAGGATTGAGCAAAGGGTGGGACGCAAAGAAGGCTGGCTCTCCCCATGCCAACATATTCAGGGACAAACCCTGAAGAATTCTACCAAGCATCCCTCACAGCCTATACTCACAGCGTCTGGGAAATGGGAGAATGTTCATGTAGAGGGGAACTGAGTAGGGTACCAACAGCATTCACTATAGACACCAAGAGCCAGTTGATTGCTTTACTTAGGGACATGGACTTTGGTATCAGACAGACCTAGGTTTGAGTCCTGGCTCTACCACTTAGGTAGCTGTGTTACCTAACTTTTCTGAACCTCAGTTTCCTCATCTGAAAAATGAGGGTACTTATGGTGCTACCATAACTAAGTTGTGGTAAAACTTAAGTCAAATTCTTCATGTAAGGCACTTGGTATTTTTCCTGGCATGTATTAATAACTATTATTTACTAAGTTCTTATAAATTATTATAAATTTTATTTAACACACCACTTAATAATACCTAGTGCTCAATAAATACTTCTCTTATATGAATTTATTATGAATAAATGAGTGAATGTCATTTGTCAAGCAGCTGTTAGCAAAAGTGTATGTTCAGCTTCTGGACAATGACTTTGCCAACCCCACTGTCCACCCTCCTCATGTTCCCCAAGAGGCAATGTTTGTCCTGACAGAGCCCAGCTGCAGTTGCTGTACCTCCCTTTGGTCCTGCTGGACAACATTTTTCATCCTACAGGCCCCTAGCAGAGTAGCCAGCACTGCCCAAGTGTTGTCAAAATTAAATGAGTAAATGTACAGAAAGCTCTGGCACATAGAAGATGTCTGAGATTGATCAAACTCATAATAGATCAGTCAGACTCTCAGGACAGTGGCTGTGGGTCAGGCAGGAATTAGGAACTGTAGGTGACAGGGAGATGGATAGGACACTGCTTGAACCTTCCAGAGCTCCCAACTGAAGAGCAGCACAGGGAAGAAAATAAATAACTTCACAAAAAATCAAGACAAGTACTATGAGAAAGGCACGAAGAGCAATGGGGGGATCCCACCTGGGTCTCTGGATTGACAAAGGTGGAACTGTCTTGGTGTCTCTGGATTATCTCAGTAGGAAGGGCAAGGACACTCTGGACAGAAAAGGACCTGAGAGCCCCAGGGAGGCAGGATTGGGGGTGCCCATGACTGAGATGTGCAGCCAGAGCCCTTACCTTTCTAGCCCATGCGACCACCCCGATGACTGCTGTGCAGATGACCACCAGCACTGCGGCCACAGCTCCAAACCAGGGGGTCTGGAATCCAGGGTGGTGCTCAGTCACTAGAAGGAGGAGGAAATAGGGGTGAGTGGCAGAGGCCAGAGCAAAGGCAAGCCATTCCTCAGGAAGGTCCCAACTTCATGGCACAGAAGTAGGAACTGACCAGGCCTGTCTCTAACCACAAGACAGGCGACTTTAAGCCCAGCTCTTTGGATAGCAGAGCATCTACTGTTTAAAGGCAGGAATATGTAGTACCTACAGGGGCTGGAGATACAAACTTCACCTCAAATGTGTTGAGTAATTCTGAACCACTTTGAACTTACTTTGAAAATGAATGCATGTAGCTAAGTCCACCTTTGTAAGAAATCGACTGTATAACTGGAAGTTCTCAGAATTAAATTCTATGTACAATACAGTGATTATTAAAGGATAAGTAATAAAAGTAAGCTTATTCTTAGAACTCAACAGTAATCACAGCAATTATTTAAAATTTAGATCAACAAAATATGTTTTTGCACAGAGGAATATTTTAGCAGTGGCATTAGTTAGAATGGCTGGCACACGGTACTAATAAAAAAGAGGAAATTTTACTCAGTTTTATTAGTGTTTAAATTCTCTATGGATAATAGATCTCTGTATTGCCTGCACCTCTGTCAGACCACTCCCTCCACCTACCCAAGGTAAGCCAAGGCTGCTCTGGACCTTCTTTTCCAAGACTGAAAAACCAGTTGCCATTGAGTCGATTCTGACTCATGATGAACCCATGTGTGTCAGAGTAGAACTATGCTCCACAGGGTTTTCAACAGCTGATTTTTCAGAAGGAGATCACCAGGAGTTTCATCTGAGGCACCTCTGGGTGGACTTGAACCTCCAACCTTTCTGTTAGTAGTCAAGCACATTAATCATTTGCACACCCAGGGACTCCTTCCAAGAGTTTTTGGTTTTTTCTCACATATGTTAGTACTGAAGACCTCGGTAGTCCCATTCACTGTTGATCCAGCTACTCTTCAAAGCTCGTTGTTGTCCTGTACCATCAAGTCAATTCTGACTCCTAGCAACCCTATAGGACAAAGTAGAACTGCCTGATTATCACCAAATTCCTGATTCTCAGGGAGGTTACAATTTGAAGACCCTGTACTGAATCCCTGAACACAAAATTTGAAACAGATCTTAGAAGAATCTAGTCCAATGTCCTAGTTGTTCAAGCGTTGAGAAAACAGAGGCCCAAGACAGCAGGTAAGCAGTCCAAGGCCATGCAGCAGGTCCACACCTCCTAGCCAGTGCTCTGCCAGGTGTAGGCAGGTAGACAGAAGGGGAAGGTTGAGGGGTTGGGGATGGAGAACTTGATGACTCTTTGGCCCCCACACAGGGACCTTCACACAGCAGACCAGCATTTCCCAATGGGGGGAACCACGTTCTCTGAGTCCCAGGCTACTGACATCAGAAAGATGGAGTTTTAAATCCAGGCCCCACCACGAATGACCTAAGGGACCTTTGTGAGCCTCAGTTGTTCTACCTAGAGAAAACGATAGTAACAGCTACATATCAATGATATGAAGACAGCACAGGACCGGACAATGTTTTGTCCTGCTATATATAAGGTCATCATGAGTCGGACACAACCCAACAGCAGCTAACAACACCTGCATCTTGGGCTTTTCATAGGAATTAAGTGAACCAATGTGTATAAAGTGCACTCATTCCCTTCCCGTTCCCTTCCTCTCCACCCCCCCTGCCAAACCCCACTACACTCAGAAGTTTACCTCTGTTATGCAGGTCAGAAGAACACAGCAGACCCTCTGCTGAGGCCATGCACTCTGCCCCTCTGAAGCATCCCTGGCTAACAGTCCCTGGGCATCTGCCTGGAATGCTTCCTGCTTATGTGAGAGGCAAAGAGGCTCAGGGTCCAGAGGAAACAAGCCTGTGACCCACCCCACAAGAACCCACAGCCTGTGCCCCACTCAGCTTGCATCAGGCAGGGGTGTGGTCTGGACTGGATAATGGAAGGGTACCCAAGCATCTGGAAGGGTCTCAGAAATACAGAAGGCAGCACTGAGGGGAGGAGGCAAGAGAGGCTAGAAAGCCCCACTTGTCCAAGCTTCCCAGGCTAGCCTGACCTCAGCAGAACCTCAGAACCCTCACACCCGAGTTTGCCCACATCCCAGGAGGGAAAACAGTGAAAGGCCAAGACCGGGGAAACTTCGTCAACAGGAAAATCAATCAAGCCATGGTCAGCCAGGTTTGGTTTTACAGCAACGTGCAGCTTTACTCTGGTTTCTGAAAAGCAACGACAAAAGCAAAAAAAAAAAAACCCAACCAAATAAACAACAACAAAGAAAAGCACGTCCTTCTTCTCTGGCCAGGAGTTAAGGTAATCACAAGGTATCTAAAACCATAAACTCCAGCCTACTCAGAAGATAAGATGTTCAGTCCAGAATATGTCTACCAGGGTTTGTAATCTAAGCCCTTAGTAAACCTAGAGCCACCTGATATCTTGGGATTTTCCTGGGAAGCAAGATCCTCCCATTGGAATCCCCAGAAGCTGCCCAAGCCTCAAAAAACCAATCCATTGCCGTCGATTCGATTCTGACTCATAGTGACCCTATAGGACAGAACAGAACTCCCCCACATGGCTTCCAAGGAGTGCCTGGTGGATTCGAACTGCTGACTTTTGGTTAACAGCCAAGCTCTTAACCACTTCACCATCATGGCCCAAGCCTCAGAGATACCTGTAATTGACCTTCTTTTTCTAGAAGATATAAAACAATAATTAGAAGTCCCAAATTTCTTAATTCAGCCTAGGTTAAATGAAAGTTATGAGAGGACACAAAATTTTAATAGCTTGAGAAAGTGAAAAACCTTGGTGCATGCAAGGCTATGAGACCACAATGCACTGAGCTAGTTGTTACATCTGGTCATGTAGATAAAGGTAAAGGCAGGAAAATGTTCACCAGACATTGACCTGAAAGATGTTAAGAATCTACGCATTAGCCAGGTGGGGAAAAAAATCTTTCTTCTCAGACTTATACTTATTCATATCCTGTTGCCATGAAACTGACAAGTTTGTTTTCAAGAGGTTCTCCTGTGAGCTCCCGTCTTCACTCTCAAGACTCCAGGTTTACAACCTTTCACCTTGAGCTTATAGCACTTCTCTTCTCGGTTGTCAGAGGAAACTATATTGTACTTCTTTTGTGTTTTTATGAGCATTGACTTTTGTATCCTTTAACCCTGGAGTTAAGGTGGTGGAGTAATCCTGTTTCTCTTCCTGTATCAATTACAGAACAAGTAAAAATAAATGGTGACTATAGCAGGCACGGAGTCCCTGGATGGTGCAAACGGTTAACATACTTGACTGCAAACCGAAAGGTTGGCAGAGTTCACCTAGAGGCTTCTTAGAAGAAAGGCCTGGTGATCTACTTCCAAAAAATCAGCACTGAACACTCTATGGAGCACAGCTCTACTTTGACACACATGGAGTCACCCTGAGTCAGAATCAACTCAACTGTGACTTGTTTGTTACAGCAGGCATAGATTTATATCCTAATTCAGAATCTTAAGTCCATTCCTTTAGGGTATGATCTTAGGATCACAAACCCCACAAGCATCAGACTCTTCATGGGTCCTGGAAGATGACACTTGATGCACCCAAGGAGGCCTGAGGGATTGGAAATGATGAGTTTCCCTCTAAGTAAATTCAGTTAATGTATATTTTTTCTAGTGCTTCAAATTACCACAAACTTAACATCTTAAAATAACACAAATTTGTTAGCTCTTAGTTCTGCTGGTCAGAAGTCCGGGCCCAGTGCGACTGGGTTCTCTGCTCAGGGTCTCAGAAGGCTAAAACCAAGGTGTCAGCTGTGCTGCATTGCCATCTGAAACTTAGGGTATTCTCCAAAGTTCACACAGTTGTGACAGATTTCAGTTCCTTGTGGTTGCAGAACAGAATTTCCCATTTCCTTGCTCGCTTCCTGCCAGGGATTTCTTTCAGGCCCTAGAGGCCACACTGTTTGCCACGTGGCTCCCTCCCTCTTCAAAGCCTTCAGTGGAGACTCTTCCTCTTGTTGAATCCCTCTCAGACATTCAATCTCTTTCACCACCAAGAGCCCAGTCCTTTTTAAGGGCTCACCCAGTCAGGTCAGTCCCCCAAGGATAATCTCCCTAACCTAAGGTCAACTGATTTGAGACCTTAATCATATGAGCAAAATCCCTTCACGGAAGCACCTAGTTAGCAATTGATTGGATTACTGGGAGAATATATGTGTACACCAGGGGGTGGGAATCTTGAGGCCATCATGGAATTCTGCCTGCCACAGCTGACAATGGTGGCTGAAGGTACCCAGGTGCAGAGATCTGGGCTAGCATAGCCAATTATAAAATAGGAATCTCTAACATTATTGACCTCTTCCATATGCTAGGCCTGGTGCTAAGCCTTTTCCTTATCTCATTTAATCTCATAACCATCTTGGAGGTAGTCACTGAGGGCCATGGGTTCACACAGCTAGCAAGTGGTAAAAATCAGGACTCAATGCATGTGTGGTAACCAGCCCTGATAGCTTCAAGGAAGCCCAAGGATTAACATTCTGACCATTTAGGGCCATTGTCAACCCTAACGTCATCCCCACCATCTCAGTGCCTTCCATTCTCTGTCTCCAGCCAAACCCTCCCCAGCCTTCAAGATGCAGTACAAGTCTGATTTCAACCATGAAGGCTTCCCTAATCATAGTAGCCACTGCCATTTACTGCGCGATTATTACACAGGTTACTTGTCACACCTAAGGTTCTCCAGAAAGCAAGATTTGAGACAAAAGATCACCATGCAGGAATTTATCAGAGAATTCTCTTAGGATCCCTGTGGAAGGAAGAAAGAAAGCAGGATTGGGAAGACAAAGAAACTGGGCGGTCACCGTAGCCTCAACAAAGTTATCAGCTAACTCCACGGGGAACTCTGAGGTCAGTGCCATCCTTCCATGATGGAGACCAGACACTGGATGCAGGCTATGCTGGAAAGGGGACATGCCCCTGTGGGAATGGCACTCCTCAGCTAAGACTGACAGATAAATGC